TAATTCCATGTTCATATAATAATTTTATTCCACTGATTATCATGTATGCAACAATTTATTTAAACACGTGTCAGTTATCGGTAAAAAACATATCTTTCAGCAACAATTACTGAGTTATGAATCGGAACGTAAGTTTCGACCCGGGAAAATCATAACCCGAATTGAAAAAAAAAATTCAAATTTATATATTATTAATATTTTATTTTACTACATGATTACCACTATAAACTTTGCCTAATTAGATAGAAAAATTTAAACTAGGAAAATACTACAGTCCCGTTACAGAATCATTCCGTCGGGATTTATAACCGTTAGATCAACATGTAACCGTCGGGAATAGTTGAACTAACGGTTACAAACCACGACGGAATGGTTCCGTAACGAGATTGTAGCATTTTCCTTTAAACTATTTCAAAAAAGTGTAAATACCTAACACCCAATGGATTGGGCACACTTTGCATTACCAAAATATCTTTCACTAAATATCAATGCCTAACTCCCATTTTTGGGTGTAAGCATATGCTCAACAAGCCAAGACACCCCTTCATTGAGTATGCCATTTATGGAAATAAACAAAATATCTGAACTCCATATGTAATTTTTGAAAAAGAAAAATTCGGGCTCTTTCTATAATTTAACCGAACTCGAGGTCACTTTCCATAATTAACCAAAAATAGAAAGAAAGAAAAAAAATGGAAAATCCCCTGTTTTTGCTCTGCACTCACCGGAAATTATCAGCAGCCTCGCCAAAAATGGCGGCGAACTTGAGATGGGCCGACCGGTCTCCGGCGGCTAAGAGCAAATACTCGACCCAGCCCACGTCCCCATTCGGGCCGATCTTCTTGTCCCCGTAGCCAAATGGGCTCGGCGGCCCGACCTTCTCCTTGTGGGCCGGGGGCAGAGAGAAGAACCGGACGGCCTCAGTTTGCAGGTCGTTGATAAGCTCGAACGGGACGCCATGATTGACGACCTTGAAGAAGCCGAAGTCTTCGCAGGCCTTGACGAGCCTGGCCGACGAGTCGGGCCGGGAGAGGTCGATTAACGGGATGATTGGGGGAAATGTCGGGCCGGGTTTTGACTTCGGGTACTGTTGGATTGCGGGCTTTGAGATAGCCACCATTTTGATGTAGAAACTTTTTT